ATCGCGTGCTTAACGCTTGTCTGCTTTCGCCCGTTGAAGTGGTGGTGCGGCTGTCGATCGAAATCTCGCCGTTTAGCTCTTGCAGAATCGTAGAGTCGGAATCCAGATGCTTCATTCGGCGTTAGTTTCCGAGCCAGGAAGGTGTCGCCCTTGCCTAGTAGATCTCGCCCACCCGAATTCGTGGAAGAGACTTCGAATACCCCAATCTTGACGCTTCGAGCTCACGACCAAGATCTTCATACTGCATATTAACCGAGACCGCAGAATCCGAGATCATCTCCCCGCTGCTGCTCCTGGGACAGATCTACCGCCGCTTGCGGTCGGTTTCTCTCTCTACTCCCGAAATTTGGAGCTCCTTTCGTGAAACCACTCCTGTCGGTAAATCCCTCGACGTCCCTCCATCTCGAAATACGTCCCTTTTCGGAGCTTTTGCAGATATGGCTGTCCCACTCAGCGACACGTCCGTTCAGGCTCACACCCCGCTACCGGGGCATTCGAATTCGGCCCACTCCTGCTCCTATTCATTTTCTCCTTCGCAGTACGCCCACCGTTGGGAGCATCTCAATCTTTGTCTTCCACATTCCGACCTCATGCAACTATTTGAAAGCTTCACAGGGAGCTATTCGTTGCTCCGAACTCTAGCCATTAGCATACCGCATTACGGAGACGTCACACCATCCTTGACCTTTGCCCCGCTCCGGAATTCCTTTCTGCTCGGAAAGCTTGACGTGACTCTTAATCGTCTTCGTCCCTCACTCTCCGGCATCCCTTGGACGCAATTGACTTAATTCTCTGGTCAGCTGTCTCTAGCTGATGGATGTGAGGTATTGCGATCGTATTGCGAGTTCATATTTGGAGGACTTCAACTCAAATATCCATAGATCGACCATCGCACGATCCAACATGTCCTCGATTTCCTCTCTCGATCACTCTGTCCCCTTGCTCATCTCTCCACTATGCGCCATGACTCTCGATGAAGCAAATTTCGCAAACATGTTCACTGCGCTCCCCATCTAGCCGAAATGGATCTCAATCTCAGGATGGATTCCCCAATGATCGTCGTTTCACTTCACCACCAGAAGCAGTACCTGCCTCGACTGACCGCGGTCAAATTGGGCGCTGGATGGCCAATCGATTACGACATCATTGTTGACATGCTCGAATCCAGAACGACGACTAGTGCAGAGGGCGTCCTCACAGTTGCAGAGTTTTGAATATTGTTCCGTACTTTTCGCTGGGCCTCCCGGTCGTCTCGGAAATTATGAAGCGCCTGAAGGCGTTGTCCGAGCTTGGGATGGATATTGTCCTCCACGGTCACCGCTTTTGATCCGGTTTCCTGTCTTGCAGAGTGTAGCTAGTAAGTAAATAGAACTCTTGTAACAATCTGATTATGAGGCCGCATTTCGCGTTTTTATAAATGCCACGGATGGTTGTCGTTTGATAGATGCGGAAACTCTAGCGCATGCCGAAGATACGCCTCGAATATAGAGCTGCCTCTGGTCATCTGAGGCCGCACACCAATCAGTGCATAGTTCAAACTACCCCCAAATTCGCGCAGCGATTACTTCAAGATTACTTTGTTGCAACTTGCGTTGGTGAGCAATCGATCGTTCCCACGGTTCAATCCGCGGTACGTATCCTTAAGAGAAGGAATGTAAAACATAGACGAAGATACTTTCACCGCTCGGGGGCTTCATTCAAACGGGTCAATATCAAGTTGGATTTACGTCCGACGTTGTTTGCACGCCATGGGTCAAGAAGGCGGTGACCAAATTTCTTTCGGAATCTTTCCTCTTTCACAGACCACCTCAATGCGCCAAGAAAATCCTCTTCGGTTCAAGTCATAGACTGGGAAGGATAGGCACAGCGAGACCCAAGTATAATTTATCGACGGCCCACATGAGACACTTTTTTCTACTCCGCGGTGTGTGCATCCTCGTCGAATGGTGCTATTGCTTACTTCACCTTCCGTGATTCGAAGTACGATTGCGGAGGAAATAGTAAGCTCTTCGAGTTGACATATTCACCTAAATCGCGAAACAAATAAAATTTCATGCCAATAATGTGCCAGTGGCTCGTTGAGAAACTGTTCAATCCACGCAGTACACAACGAAAAAATTACAACTTCGACTTCTTGGCATTTACTGCGCTTTCTTCGTCTCTGCACTTCGTCAGATCAGGCCATAATCAGGAACATGATTTCACGCACCCAACGCTGTCCTTCTCGTTAGGCTGGGCACCATCGCCGGCGCCGGCAGTATCTGAAGCAGCGCCAGCGTCGGTTCCATCCGCACCGCGAACATGATCAGCGATGGCCCCGCCGGTTGCACCGACAGCCCCTCCAATGGCACCAGCGCTCACAACCCCTATGGCGGGCAGTACGCCGCCCATCGCAATACTCTGAATAACGGCCCAAGAACTGCCAGCTACAACGGCGCCTCCGGCTTGAATTCCAGCGAAGGTGCCTCCGGCTACTGGTCCAGCTGCGCCGATACCGTATATACCACCAAGGATAGGAGCAGCGAGGGGACCCGCGAGGACGGCAGCTCCTACAGCCGCAGGGACAGCATATTTGACAGCGGCAGGTCGAGCTAAAGGGTGAAAGTGTGAGGATAGGCTTAGCCTGTTTAGCGCACATCCATATACACTCACTGTTGATGAAAGTAGACACCTGTACAACTTTCTTCTTCACCGCTGGCGGGGTAGCATCCCCAATGGCTTGCGCGCCCCGGCGTGCCGCATCTACTGACATTGAGGCCGAAGAGTAACACAGTGTCAGTAAACATACGTACCAGTAGCAACACCAATTTTTTCCTTCACAACGGGCGGAGTAGCATCGTCAATGAACTGGGCGCCGCGTCGTACACCAGCTAATAGAGCAAGACGAGCGGAGGTGGTTAATTTGGAATGGTACATTGACGATCAGGGGACGCACCCGCCGCTGCTTGACCGCCTCGCTGTGCATGACCACCTGCAAATACGGCAGCCTTGTTCAGATTCTTCTGGGCCTGTCCGAGCTTCTCCTTTACGACCGGGGATGTAGCCCGGTGAACGGCCTGTGCGCCTCGACATGCGACATCTGTTACGAGGAGAGCGAGGGTGAGAGTGTGAGACGTCCGCGCCATATTCGAGCACAACACCAGAGAGAAAACACCACGCACCAGCAGCAGCTTGAGCCCCCCAACTCGTGTGCTCCCCTACGGCTCGAGACGCATCTCGTAGGTGGCCGTGTCAGTTGAGTGTGAAACCTAAGCATAGTACGCCCACGTACCCGCGATAGATTTCCAGCCTGACCAAGAGTTGAACCCTAGGTATATCATGCTGTTAGTATTTGGGCCAGCAACGTACGACTGCTCTTTGACTCACCCATCGATGATGGAGGTAAGGAGCCTCGTGGCGTCGCTTTTTATAGAGCCGGACCCGGCGCGGAGCGCGGTGAAGTTCAAATTGATACCTCATAGCTTTTGTCAAGTCACCGCGCCAACGCAAGGTCCGCTTGAGCTCGTAGGAGAATCCAGGTGAGTCCAATCGAACCGATTCCGACTTCTGCATCCATCTCAGGGCGGGAACCAACCAGGCGTCGTGCGCTGTTGGAGTGACTTGGGTTCCGAGAGCTGTTCCGAGTTCGACGAAAAATTGACAGCCGTGACTACAGTTGGCTTCCGAGTCCCGAGTGAGCGGCTTGTACTGTCTGTCCGAGGTGCAAGATTCAGATATCGCGATCGCGATCGGGAACGAGAAAGGCCGCAGGCGACAAACCGGCGGAATGAACCATGACCAGGAGAAAAATACTGATTCAAGGGCGCATTCGGGGTTCGCAACTTGAAGAATATCTGTGGGGAAATTCCGATTCGAAAGATCGAGAAGGGGGAGTGGGGGACGCCGTTCACTTCGTTCACCGCGACCCCGGGATGTCCAGTTCGCGCACTAGTCCGATCGAGGGAATCCTCGTGGTCGCTGAGTGCTGGGTCCGGTGAGTGCAGTAGTGCAACAGAGGGAACATCACAGCGCACATCGTGTCAGCCGAAATGTTCCGATCATCAGAGTTTGATGATGTGAACTTCAATTCGGACCGTCTTGCTGTACATGTTCGGTCCTTTCCTGTCCGTTGCTTCATCATGTGCTGCCGCTGCCAACTGAGAGAGCTCAATGACCATATTTGCAGATCCAATAACTTCAACACAGCGCCAGTTGCCTTCAACTCAAGTGTCGGTTTGGTTGGAAGGTTGAAATTCAACCCAACTCACTTGCGGACGATGCTGTCTACATATGCACGTAGGTAGGGAATTGTTGCAAGGTGCCATGGTCTGGTGGTGTAGCGATTACACGTCCTCGTATGCTTGATGTCCTCATTATGTTCAGAGGAAGTCGTCAGATCATGTCCATATTGACTGGATCTTTTTCTTTTTCACTTTCTTTCATTATCTCTGAATCAAGAGATAAAGCACGGCTGAGCCGGTGTAGTAGTATTTTTTCAACACAGATTTGGTTGCCTTCAAGTGTCAGTCAATTTGGATCGACGGTCTCTGAAAATCAAACGACATTTTTCACCAAAAATTCTACTGAAAAACTTGAATATTTGAATCTTCCAACCAGTGTGGCTGGCAAATTCCTAGTTATAATGCCTGCACATATCTTTTTACACACCCACTTGCAACTTGAGACCCGCGTTGACTACGGCCAAAGTCTCAAGCCCATGACGGCCTGGTGGTGTAGCGATTACACGTCCTCCTACATTAGGCGGTATATCAGCATATATGAGGAAGTCCCTCGTTCAACCCGGGGTCAGGCCATGTATTTTTTTCATCTCAACAGCTTCACATTTGCAGATCCGATAATTTCAACACATGTACAGCTTTGGTTGCCTTTAATTCGAGTGTCAGTCAATTTGGATGGAAGGTCGAAATTCAACTCAATTCAACTTAACTTTCGACCTGCGGAGGATGCCGTCTATGTCTGTATGTGCACAGATAATTGTTGGAAGGGCGGAATGGTGCCATGGTCTGGTGGTGTAGCCGTTACACATCCTCTACTTATCCATGTGGTCATGAACAATGTTCTGAGGGAGCCCCTCGTTCGAGTCGGGGTCAGACCATACCAATATCGTCATCCGGTGGATTGTTTACTTTTTTTTCATTCATTATCTCTTCTTAAGAGTTGGAGCACGGCTGAGCCGGTCATATTCACAGATCCAATAAGCCAATTGCCTTTAATTCAAGTGTTGGTCAGTTTGGACGGAAGGTCGAAATTCAACTCAACCTTTGACTTTCGACTTCAATGCGGAGGATGCTGTCTACTTCTACATGTGCACATAGATAATTGTTGGAAGGTGTCATGGTCTGGTGGTGTAGCCGTTACACGTCCTCACATATTGCTCGGGTACTGTAATTACTTCTGAGGAAGTCCCCGTTCGACTCGGGGTCAGACCATATTCGTGTTGTGTTGAATTTTTACTTTTCTTTCTTTCATTGTCTCTGAATCAAGAGTTGGAGCCTGCTGACTGAGAGAGCTTCACATTCCCAGATCCAATAATCTCAACACAGCACTAGTTGCCTTCGAGTGTCGGTCAATTTGGATGGAAGGTCGAAATTCAACTCAACTCAACTCAACCTTTGACTTGCGGAGGCTGCTGTCTACGGTCTACATGTACACAGATAATTGTTGGAATGGCATTATGGTCTGGCAGTGTAGTGGTTACACATCCTCATATGCTGATAGGTTGTAATTGTGCTCTGAGGAAGTCCCTCGTTCGACTCGGGGTCAGACCATAGCAGGGTCGAAGGCATTTTTTTTTTCATTCATTCCTTATCTCTTCTCAAGGTTGGAGCACGCCCGAGCCGGTCATATTCGCAGATCCAATAAGCCAGTTGCCTTCGAGTGTCGGTCAATGTGGATGGAAGGTCGAAATTCAACTCAACTTTCGACTTGCGGAGGATGCTGTCTACGTTTACATGTGCACATACTAGGTATATAATTGTTGGAAGGTGTCATGGTCTGGTGGTGTAGTCGTTACACGTCCTCACATATTGCTCGGGTACTGTAATTACTTCTGAGGAAGTCCCCGTTCGACTCGGGGTCAGACCATACCCCTGTCGAGTGGTTCTTTTTTTTTCTTTTTTTTAAAAAATTATTTCTGAATCAAGAGTTGGAGCACGACTGAGCCGGTCGCAGATCCAATAAGCCAGTTGCCTTTGAGTGTCAGTCAATTGGATGAACTTCAACTCCTCAAAGAGGAGGATGCTGTCTACATATGTGCACATAGGTAGGGAATTGTTGCAAGGTGCCAGGTCTGGTGGTGTAGTGATTACACGTCCTCTACATATCCATGTGGTCATCAACATGTTCTGAAGAAGTTCCTCGTTCGACTCGGCATCAGGAAAAAACCCTCAAGCTACGGCAGCTACCGCCGGCTACAGATAACTACTGTAGCACTACATATCTGGCCGTAGCTGCCGTAGCTTGAGGGTTTTTTCCGGATGGGGGTCAGACCACAGCAGGGTCGAAGGCATTTTTTTTTTTCATTCATTCATTATCTCTTCTCAAGGTTGGAGCACGGCTGAGCCGGTCATATTTGCAGATCCAATAAGCCAGTTGCCTTTGCGTGTCGGTCAATCGGATGGAAGTTTGAAATTCAACTCAACTCAACTCAACTTTCAACCTCCGACTCCCAATCTGAGGAGGATGCTGCTGTTTACACATGCACATAGGTATGTAATTATTGTAAGGTGTCATGGTCTGGTGGTGTAGCGGTTACACATCCTCATACATTAGCTAGGTAATTTATGTTCTGAGGAAGTCCTTCGTTTGACTCGGGGTCAGACCATAACAAGGTAGAGAATGGATCTTTTTTTTCATTCATTCATTATCTCTTCTCAAGTGGGAGCACGACTGAGCAGGTGTAGTATTTTTTCTTTATGGCATCGCACAGTACTGGTTTTCTGTCGTTGAACTAAAAATTGTGATTGTCCTAAATGCTTAGACGGCCGGTTACACATCTGTGGCATAAATATGTAGCGTGTCAAAACTGGGTTTACTTGAGCCACTTTTGGTGCATGCCACAGTGTTCTTGACTGCACCATGCAAATTCTGGCTGGCAAATTCCCAGTTATAAAGCCTGCACATATCTTTTTACACACCCACTTGCAACTTGAGACGCGTCAACTGTACAACAAACGCGAGGTACGAGTGAAGAATTTGTTGTAGCGTCTGTTTATAAGAGATAGTACGTCAACTGCGGGCCAAAGTCTCAAGTCCATGACGGCCTGGTGGTGTAGCGATTACACGTCCTCCTACATTAGCCGGTATATCATATATGAGGAAGTCCCTCGTTCAACTCGAGGTCAGGCCATGTATTTTTCACTTGAGCAAGAGAGGAGTTGCGCGCGTTCGAAGCGCACAGGGCGTGCTTTCTTTACCTCACGGCGGAATAGTCGCTCCACTGCATTCCATTTGATAAGCTCAGCGGCCGCACCTGCCCTCCGCTGCGATGAGTCGTACAAAACAATAAAAAAATAGGCGGGGTGTCTGACTGGATTTGGGGTTGATGCGAATTGCGGGAATTACGCTGGTGGATATCGGTTGTTTACGGTGGTGGTGGTCGGCTTGCCCACGTCGAGGCTCACTCAGCACGATGCAGGAGGGGCCCTTGAGCTGACTGTACCTTGACTACGACGACTACCAGCACTACTAGAATACCGACCACGACGACGAGCAGCATGCCCCGAGCGCCGAGTGTCCCCCTCCCCCCGCCCGAAGCGGCCGCGCATGATAAACAGCCGGGCATGACCCGCCAGGGCCTCCTCGACAAAGCAAAGAACGCCCTCGCTTCCACTACTCCCCCCACATCCACAAAGGCCTAACGACGAACGGGGTCTGAAGGTCGATGTGTCCCCGCCGACACCGAGTGCGGGTGGGGCATCGGCCCCTACCTCACCGCATCCCACCCCAGCCGCAAACGGCCTTGCCGCAGACCCCCCAGCGCCCGTCAAGCGCGCGGCGTCGGCCTCGGCGCCCAACACCCCCGCCCTCCCCGCGCGCGCGCCCTCCCGCGCCGCCTCCGTCGCCTCCTCCCACGCCTCCCACGACACCCACAACACCCACAACACCGGCCACAAGTTCACGCTCAAGGACCTCCTCGCCTCCGGCCCCAAGCTCTCCCGCCGGAGCAGCGCGCGCAGTGCGAGTTCGCGGCATAGCGCGGACAGCGGGAGCGAGGTGAGCCACGACGGCGGCGGGGCTTCGGCGCCACCTTCGGGCTGGGCGGGGGCAAGAAGGACAAGGAGGGCAGCAAGAAGGGCGGGGGGAGCGTCAAGAGCGGCGGGAGCGTGAAGAGCGGCGGGGGCGACTCGAGCGCCTCGCTGACGAGGAAGTACGGCGTGTGCCAGAAGGTGGCGATTGGGAAGGGGGCGACGAGCGTGGTGCGGCTGGCGCACAAGTGGGATCGGAGCGAGGGGGGAGAAGATGTATGCTGTCAAGGTTCGTCGAGCTTTGACTCTGCTGTTTTCTGGGCGGGCTTGGCCTACAGCCCTTGCTGTTGCGGCATACCCCTTCTATCTATCTTCCTCGCTTTCCTCCCTCCCTCTCCCTCCCCCTCTTCTCACTAACGCCCCCGCCGCCCCCAGGAATTCCGCAAACGCCGCAAAACCGAGACCGAGAAGGAGTACGTCAAGAAGCTCACCGCCGAGTTTTGCATCAGGTGCGTTCCTCCCCTCCCCCTCCTCCCTCCCTCTTCCTTGTTCTTCCTTCTTGTTTCTTGTTTCGTTTTCGTTTTCTACGGCTTCGTTTTCGTTTTCGCATACGGATTTTGTTTTTCGTTTCTTCTGTTTATTTCGCTTCGAATATGGGACAATGCGGGCCAGGGAGGCCCACACCCTCCCTCCTTCGCGGCGTTTCTTGCGATGTCGATGTCGACTGCCCTTGCACCCACCCACGCGCTTTTTTTTGTGGCGGAGGCGCGCTTTTTTTTTTCCGAGGGGGGTGGAGGTGACGTCATCGGCATCCTCAAACTTCACACCTTTTGTGCCCGTTGACCGTGGGCGGGGTCGGGGGGCGCGTCGGCGTCGGGTCATGCATACCCTCGAGTGCAACGAACCCAAGGATGGCGGCGTCGTCCTATCCCTATTTCGTATTCGTATTCCTATCCCTCTTCCTATCCACATTCCTCTTCCTATTCCTCCTCTCTCCCTTCCTCTAACACGCTCGCTATCGCTAACCCCCTCTTTTCCCTTATTCCCGCTTCCCGCTTACCCCCCGCTAACGCGCAACGCAGCTCGACCCTCCACCACATCAACATCGTCGAGACCGTCGACCTCGTGCAGGACGAGCAGGGCCGGTGGTGCGAGGTTATGGAGGTGCGTGCTTTTCTTCTTCTCGCTTCCTTGCTCCCTTCCTTCTCCTGGGCAAAGCGGGCGGGCGGCGTAGGCGAGCGTGGGCCGAGTCCCAATGCCAATGTTTCGCTTTCGCCCACCGCCCACCGTCTTCCGTCTTTGTCTTCCCCAAGCCCGTCGGAGATCGCGCTTCCTTCGCCGGCGTTGGCGTCCGTCGGAGATGGCACCCAGAGGGCATTTTGCGGACGGTGTCGACGACCCGTCGGATGCTACTTGCCCGCGGTGGCGCGGAAGGATCCAAATCGTATCCTGTCGATGGCGCGAGTCAGGGGGCTCTTGGGGCGTCTTTGTGCTCGGGCGGGCGCGCCGTGGATATTGGAGCGCGCGAGTCCGAGGACGACCTGCGTGTGCGCCTATGGGCATGGCCGTCGGCGCGTCGGCCGTGGACGTTCCGCGCCGCGTCGCGTAGTACCCTGTCGCGCCGCCCGCCGTATCGCCACTCGCTTCCTCTTTTCGCACACAAACCCCTTTTTTTTTGCAACCAAACCCTTCCCTTTTCTCTTCTTGAACCCACTACCTCTTGAACCCACTACCTCCTTTCGCATCACAGTTCTGCCCCGGCGGCGACCTCTACGCGGCGATCAAAAAGGGCGGCATGTCGCCCTCCGAGGTCGAGTGCTGCTTCAAGCAGATTTTGGAGGGGGTTGGGTGCGTTTTGCTTCTTTTTCTTGCTTCTTGTTCTTGTTCTGGTTTTTTTTTCGTTCGAACGTATTGTGCGGTGCTGTGCGGTGCTTCTCCGCTCGCGGGAGCATCGTCGGGTATACTATTGGCGTGCGACGAAGCCCTCGCTCGAACGCACTCCCCCCCGCCACAAACGCAAACCGCAAAAACGCAATTCACCCGCTAACCCCCCGCGCACAGATACCTCCACAGCCAGGGCGTGGCGCACCGCGACATCAAGCCGGAGAACCTCTTCTTTGATACCGTGGGGCATTTGAAGGTGCGTTTGCGTTTTTGTTTGCTTTTTGCTTTGCATCACCTTCCTTTGGGGTGACGACGCGCCTCACTCTTGCCTCGCGCTCCCCCTTCTCGCTATTTTATCTTGTTGAATTGAGGAGGGAGGGCTGACTTGACTTTCGTCTGTAGATCGGCGACTACGGCGCCTCGACGGTGTACCGCCTCCCCTGGGAAGCGACGATCCACATGTCGACGGGGCTGTGCGGGAGCGAGCCGTATATTGCGCCGGAGCAGTTTTTGGGGAAACGTTCGTTCTTTCGTCGCCCTATCCGCCCTCTTGCCTAATCCTCCGCTCTCGTTTGCCAGCCTACGACGCACGCCTAGTCGACATCTGGGCGTGCGGGATCGTGTACTACTGCCTGCACTTCCAAGAGCTGCCCTGGCGCGCAGCGCAGCAGTCGGACCAGCTGTACGCGGCCTATGCCGCCGCCGCCGCTGCGACGCCGCCCCCGCCGCTCACCGCCGCGCCCGCGCCCGCGCCGCCCCCGAACGGGGCGCAAAGCAGCAGCAACGGCGCCCCCTCCACCACCTCCTCCACCACCACCCTGCACCCCGCACCCACCGCCGCCGCCGCCCCTCCCGCCCACCAGCCGCACCCCGACCGCGACCGGCACCACACGCAAGCGCAGTCCACGCTCGTCTTCCCGCCGACGATCAGCAACCTCTCCCCGCGCGCGTGCCGGCCGCTCATCCGCAAGATGCTCGAGCCGGACCCGAAGCTGCGGAGCAGCATCGAGGAGGTGCTCGGGTGCGCGTGGATGCGCGGGGTGGAGGTGTGCTGGGAGGTCGGGGAGCGGGCGCGGCATGTGCATGTTAATGCGCGCGCGATGGCGGGGGTGGTGCTGGGGCAGGCGGAGCGGGAGCGGTAGCGTCTGGTGGGAGGGTGTAAATATGGAGAGCCCGAGGGCAGGAGACGCGTTGGACATTCTCGTTCGGCTCGCGTATCCGGTTTCGTTTTTGTAGAGGAAAGGAGGGGCGGGAGGAGTGCGCCCGCTCGCTCGCTCGCTTGCTTTCGTTCCGATTGGTTTCTTGGTGCGCTGTCCTTTGTGCTGCTTAATGCTTAATACATCCGTCCGTTCCGGTCTTCCGTTTCCCGTTTCGTCCCCATGCATGTGGATCCAGAAATCATACCATACCATACATACGATTTCACTGTACAATGTCAATACTGTTACATTCATACGTACATACCTACTATACGTCCCGCTCTGTTGCTGTTACTGTTGCTGTTTTTTTTTTCATACATATCGGTTTCTTTTTTATGCTTTTGCTCGTTTTGGGTTTTGGTAAGTAAAGTATGCGGCCCTGGGCTCAAGATTTTTTGTTTGGTTTCGGTTCGTGGATAGAATGTACCGTATCCCTCTAGTTTACTTCCGAGAATTGGTTTGCAGAGCAGGATTTCAGCGCCGCGCCGGCGTCCTTCCAAGTAACCGGCGCACAAGGTTGTTTCCGTCCTTGTTCATCGATATCTTGCGCGCAC